CAGGAGAATTGCTTAAGCCCAGGAGTTGGAGGTTGCTGTTAGCTGTGATGCCGTAGCATTCTACCCAGGGTGACAGCTTGAGGTTCTGTCTCAAAAAAAAAAAAAAGAAAGAAAATGTGTTTCCTTTGTCAGAGGAACAGCAGCTTCCCAGCTCCAGGGACTTAGTTGCTCCTCAGGAACGCAGGGATTCAGTGCTACTGGGTCTCTTGCAAAGTTCAAGAAAAGCTGAGAATTAAGATTTTTATGTAAAAACCTAATTTCACGTAGTTTTGAAACATTGGCAGTTTATGAACTTTTGAGAAAACATTATGTGGATTCTTCTCCAGGTCCCAACTGTCTGGCAGCCCACCCGATTTGAATAAACATCTGAGCTATATCTAGAAACATGTTTGCACACCCTCCACACATCCTGCACCGTAAGCATGTCCAGCCTTGCTCCACGTAGACAAAGCAGTGCGTGCATACAGGGTTGTAAAGATAGGAGACTACAGATAAACATACGCTGTGCTCACCTGGAGACACACAGAAAGGCGTTTATAATCAGATTGACTGAAACTGGAATTCCTCAGAGCACACGAGGTGTACTTGGGACCCAAAGCTGCAGTTACTGTTGAATGTGGGGTTTGTTGAGCAATGAGCAAATGCTTTGAGAACTGTTGTACTGGCTATCTTGGCTCTGGAAGGGCTGACCTACGATTGGATTACCCTTAAGTGCTTCAGGAGGTCAATTTCCTGCTGGGTGTGGATTCAGAAATAGTGGTGGCCCACTGGGAAGAATTTCTTTCTTTATAGCTTCTCTATACTTTGTAGCTCACTAAGAACCACGTTGGGAAGCTATTGCTGTTTTCGCCATGACGATCTGGTGGGAGAAGCAGTGAGATGGGCATTAGAGGCATTATTTCTCAGGAGTGGTTTCATGAACAATCACAACCCTTGATGGCCTCAGTTGCTTTTTTTCCCCCCTTTGGAGGCAGAGTCTTAACACTTGTCACACTGTAGAGTGCTGTATGGTCATAGCTCCTAACAACCTCAAACTTGTGGGCTCAAGTGATCTTCTTGCCTCAGCCTTGCAAGTAGCTGGGACTACAGGCTCCCATCACAATGCCCAACTAGTTTTTTCTCTATTTTTGGCAGAGGTAGGGTCTCACTTTTGTTCTGGCTGGTCTTGAACTCCTGAACTCAAGCAATCTACATGTCAAGGCCTCATGAGTAGCTGATACTACAGGTGTCCACCACAACACCTCTATTTTTAGTAGAGACGAGGTCTTGCTTTTTGTTTCAGGCTGGTCTCAAACTCCTGACCTCAAGCAATCCACCCACTTGGCCTCTCAGAGTACTAGGATTACAGGTGTGAGCTACCATGCCTGGCTGACCTCTGTTTCTTTATTGAAAGTCTAGGGGATTAAATTAGTTACAGTGGCCTACACCTGTAATCCCATCTACTTGGGAAGCTGAGGAAGGGGTATCACTTGAGGCCAAGAGTTTGAGCCCAGCTTGGGCAACACAGCAAGATCTCACCACTAAAGAACTTTTTTTTACAAAGAGAAATCTAAAAAAAAAAAAAGAAAGAAAACCAAATAGAAATGTAGGAGATTAGGTTAGAGGATTTTAGATCCTTTTTATTCTGAGAACCTCAACTTTGAGAGGACTCTTTATACACCTACATGTATAGGTTGGTTAAGCATACATTCACAAATTCTTAAATGGATGGGGGATTTAGTTAGCACATCTGGCGGGAAAAAGGATGAGTAGGTAAATCAGAGCAGTGTGGTAGCACACTCGTAACAATTACTTCAGGATTGATTATCACCTGATACTGGGTTCAATGCAAAACATGGAATCAAATATTGTAACTCAGAGTATTACAAAGCAGTTGTTATGTCTTCTGTATCCTGTGAACTTAACTATATATTAAAACAAATTGTATATCTTTTTTTTTTTTTGAGACAGAGTCTCACTTTGTCACCCTAGATCGAGTGCTGTGGCATCATAGATCCCAGCAACCTCAAACTCTAGGGCTCAAGTGGTCCTCTTACCTTAGTCTCCCAAGTAGCTGGAACTACAGGCTCCCATCACAATGCCCAACTAGTTTTTCTCTTTTTTAGTAGAAACCAGGTCTTGCTCTTCCTCAGGCTGGTCTTGAACTTGTGAACTCAAGCTGTCGTGTCCTCCCAGAGTGCTGGGATTACAGGCGTGAGCCACTGCACCTGGCCCATTCTTTTCATTTTTGCTGAGTAGTATCCTGTTGTATGACCCTACTACAATTTGTTATCCATTTTCCTGGGGAATGGGCATTTGGGTAGCACCACTTTGGCTGGTAGGAATGAAGCTGTTAAGAATGTTCTTGTGTAAGTCTTTCCTGGATGTGTTTTCATTATCTTTGGGTAAAACCTGGGAATTGCTGGCCCATATAGTTAAGTGTTACGTTTAAATTTATATGAAGCTGCCAGATCAGTTTTCCGGAGGCACTGTGCAGTTGCGTGCTGCCACCAGCAACATTTGAAAGTCTGGGCTGCTCTGGCTCTTGTCTTAATGGTAATCTCTTTCCTGGTATGTTTAGTTTGTCACGAAAACATGTTTTGGTAAGGGTTTTTGAGCTGATCTGGCCAAAGAGAGATTCTTAAATTTGCTTAACTTAATTAATGAGAAATACTTTTGAAGAACGCATGACACTGATACTTGTTAACTGGGTCTTGCAAACATCAGATGGAGGTTTGCAGTGATGTGTGTACCGGCTGCAGGTAAGTTTAACTTTGTGGGGTGATGTTAAGTTCCCTTGCCAAGCACTTCGCTCTTCAGGGCTGCTGGAAGGTATAGAAACCTGTACACACCCAGCGTGAATTGGAAAGGAAGTGCAGAAGAGATGGACTCTCCCAAGGCTAGTCTAACTACTATGTAGATTGTTTATCACAGGACGGACAGGCCCAGGCCCTCAGAGCCTCTCAGAGCTTTTCAGCACAGCCAGATGAGAATTCATGTTATGTTACTGAATCACCCAAACAAACACAAAGATTAAATTATGTTCCCTCTATTTAAAAAGGTAAAGATATAATACATTTTGGAAATTTCAGTGAAAGTTGTTAAAAGTTAAAGCATTCCAATATTTAAAGAGTTAAGTTAAAGAAACCCCTGCGTGTCCATGGGTAAACAAGGAGGGCCCTGCACGTGCTCTTTGTGGTATCAACAAGTGGCCTCCTTGTCTTCTCACCAGGATGACAACTGGGGAGAGACCACCACGGCCATCACAGGCACCTCGGAGCACAGCATATCCCAGGAGGACATTGCCAGGATTAGCAAGGACATGGAGGACAGCATGGGGCTGGATTGCAGGCGCTACCTGGGCCTCACTGTCGCCTCCTTTCTTGGACTTCTGGTTTTCCTCACCCCCATCGCCTTCGTTCTGTTACCCCCGATCCTGTGGAGGGATGAGCTGGAGCCTTGCGGCACAATTTGTGAGGGGCTCTTCATCTCCGTGGCGTTCAAACTCCTCATCCTGCTCATCGGGACCTGGGCGCTCTTTTTCCGCAAGCAGAGAGCCGACATGCCCCGCGTGTTTGTGTTCCGTGCCCTTCTGTTGGTCCTCATCTTTCTCTTTGTGGTTTCCTATTGGCTTTTTTATGGGGTCCGAATTTTGGACTCTCGGGACCGAAATTACCAGGGCATTGTGCAATATGCAGTCTCCCTTGTGGACGCCCTCCTCTTCATCCACTACCTGGCCATCGTCCTGCTGGAGCTCCGGCAGCTGCAGCCCATGTTCACGCTGCAGGTGGTGCGCTCCACGGACGGCGAGTCCCGCTTCTACAGCCTGGGACACCTGAGGTAGGAGGGAACGTCTGTGAGGCAGGGAGGACGATTGTACCTTGCCACAAGAAGCTTGTTGAGTATGTGAAGAGCGATGACAGTCGCGGGCTCAGTCCAGGGTCTGACTCTCTTCTCTTCTGGTGTGTGGGGCGGGTGTCTGTGTGCATGAAGATTCTGGACTTCTGGATAGACAGGGTGGTTACTGGCTCTCATCCAGGTTGGGATTTTGAAAGGTGTTGGCAACTCCCAAAAGTGATGGAGAAGGAATATGCATAGTGATGGCTGTTTATTTGAACCTGGAAATTGGCCCGTGGATGGTGCATAAGGTGACCAGCAGTTCCATTTTCCCCAGAATGGTATATCTGGTTTATCTTATTGTCCCAGTGGAATTATCAATTGTTCCTTTTTTTTTCTCCACTTTGCAAGGTGTCCTGATTTGGGCAATGAGTTATAATAGTCACCCTGGTGATCCTCCAGTAAAGAATCAAGTGCAAATTAGAGACTCCAAATGTGTAAGGGCTGAGTGTTTTGAACATGTATGCATGAGGAAAAAGTTAGAAATCACTTGGGATGGCATACTGTAAATCTATGCATAAAATCTCATTTTGTGGTTAACTGAAGTCATAACCATCGTTTATTTATATTTGCCTCAAGATCAGCACTTTATGTAGATTGCATATTTAGTCTTCACAGGACCCTATGACATTGATATTATTGGTCCCAGTGTTATTGATGTAGAACGTGGGATTAGGGGATAAAAGTAGTTTGCGCAAAATACTGTGGCAGCCTTGTTTGGGATCCACTCAGACATCATGAAATGCAGGCTGAGTTATGCCCCCGTATGGATTGTCTCACTTTGTGTTTTGTGCCCTATTTTTCCATCTTTTTTCTTACACAAACTATGCCCCTGAGGATGGGGCAGTGCTCATTCCTCATGACACCCTTGGCGCCTGGCATGGAGCATGGCACACAGTTGGCGCTCAGCTGGTCACTGGGTAAAGGCAGAGCCCAGGATCTGACTTCAGAGCCTTCACCTTCTCCCTGGCTCCTGTTGATGCTGATGTGTGTAACCTGTTCGACTCATGGTAGGCACTTAATTGTCCCTGTTACTGCTGTGATATTGTCACTAGCAAAGTGGCCATGGTCACAAGGGCACACCTTAGTGGTGTCAGAAGAATTGGCTTTGTCATAGTTCTGGCTGGAGTCCAGGGGGGTGGCCCGGTGCTGGTTTGGAGTCAGGCCATGCTGCCAAACCATCGTCCTGTTAGCATGCTCCCTCCTTCCTTCCTCTGGCCCAGCTTGTACCACCCAAGGACTGAATGATTCAGTGTCAAGGTTGCTGCCACCCTAACCGATCCATGCAGGGGATCGTGTCCAATTCCTGTGTTTATGCAGCAAAGCCTGGCAGTTCACAGACATCTGTAGGGCTCTGAAGGGAAGTAGGTACCTGCTGCGTGTTCATCTGGGACAGCTTTCTTTCCATGTCCTCATGGGGAATGACCAGCGGACTGATGGTAAATATCTGCTAAGTGCGAGCCCAGAGCTTGGGGCTCCAGCACCACAAGAGTGGCTGCCTTCAAAGCCCTGTGTCAGACCCGGGAGCTCAGCATCGCAGGGAGACCAGGGCACTGCTGCACAGCAGACAGATGCCAAAACAGACCTGGCTGCAGGAGACAGGAACACAGGAGAATGGGGAAGTTCAGGCTGTGGTAGCAGGAGACAGTCTGTCCCAGAACAGGTCTTGATAAAGTTAGAGCAGTGGCTGTGGTCCTGGTGGAGGTGATATTTGGGACTGGCCAAGAGTGAGGCCTGCTGAGATTTTGTTTGGGGCCGTGGTTGGTGTGACTCTATCCTGTGCAGGAGTGAAAGGGAAAGACACCTTGTCACCTTTATTGCCCCCGGTGGGGGACTGACTTCCTCCCTGGGCTTCTGTGTTCTTCCCTCTAGGACTGGTTGCACGAAAGATGGGGTGGGGACAGGAGAGGGGGAACCAAAGAGCCAGAGGAAGGTGTGTCCAGAAAACGTAACTAGCAGCAGCCCCAGCATCTCCCCACATAGCTGTGCTGGTTGGGTTTGAGTTGACTGGTTTCACGATAGATGGGGTGGGGACAGGAGAGGGGAACCAAAGAGCCAGAGGAAGGTGTGTCCAGAAAACGTAACTAGCAACAGCCCCAGCATCTCCCCACATAGCTGTGCTGGTTGGGTTTGAGCGAGTGGGCAAGGCTGGGCTGATCCTGCTGCACAGCGCACAGGATCGCTGCAAACCTCTTAGGCCCTCCTCACCCTGAAGCCTGTGAGCCCAGCTCCCCAGGAGACCTGGAGGGTGGCATGTCCAGCAGCCCCAGAGGAGGACATTCGAGGTCCTCCAGCCTCCTCCCGGCTTCTCTTCAGGGCTGGTTGTTTCCTCCTCTCCCTGCCTCTACCAAGGCCCCCTTTATCCCTCACATGGAGCCCTGGGCCAAGGGGTGCAGAGAAGGCTGAGGAAAGAAAGGTGTTATTTGCAGATGGAGCCCTCAGGCAGGCTAGATGCCCGGCCTGGCCTCTCCGCCTGCTGATATTGTGTGTGCCTGGTCACCTGCCGGTCCCAGGGCTAAATCTGGTTGGAACCCAGCAGTGGCTGGAAGAGTCACTGGGCCAGAAATATAACTTCTAAGCCCTTTTGTAAAGTGCAGGAATCAGACAGGAGGGACGAGGGAGTGGGATAGACAAAGCGGGCCTCGGAGACAGGCACAGCAGGTCTTGAGCAGCAGCCCTGCTGGAATCACAGGCGGCCACTCTGCCTTTATGTAAAGCCTCTGTTGGGCTTCGGTGCAGAGTGCTGGCGAATTCTTTTTTTCTGTTTCCACAGATGATTTTATTGAATCGACTGAGCTATTTTTGAGAGTGGTCAAAAGAATGCCTACTCTTTAGTTTCTTAAAGAAAACAGGCTTCTCATTAACCCTCATAAAAGGCACTTGCTGTGGCCTGCTTGTTGGCAGGGATGGATTTCTGGGCTTGTTTGAAAACTTTCAGAAATGTAAAAAGTCACTGCTGTAGAAAGTGGGATGCCATAAATACATTCAAACCTCTGCCCGGTGCCTTAGTTACCAAAGGCCTTTCCAGGGTTGGGGCTCATTTGCCCGGCCCGCTGCCTGTCGGGTCTGAGCAGGGGAAGTAGTGGGCTCTCCCATGCGCAGTGGTGGGCCCTGCCCACAGGTGATATGGGACCTGCTCCAGGTCGCAGGGAGCTAGCGTGTCCCTGTGTGTCACACCCCTTTCCTGCTGTCCTCTCCATGGCACCCTGGGGTGTCAGCACTGTTGGTTTGTGGCTCTCCGGGCACACCTCACTGGTCGTTTCTCTTGGCCTTTTTCTCACAGGGAGTTGCTAACTTTTCCAGAATTTCATCAGAGACCAGTGATTTTCGATCTGACTGTATTTGGGGAGTGACCCAGAAAAAGAGACTAAAAATGACATTTAACTACCCTAATTAATAATTTCTCAGTTTTGACATCTTTCAAGGGAAATACCGTGAGTATTGGCACATAGACCCTAGTGTAATTGACTAGATCTGAGCTGGAAAACAGAGAAAACCCTCGGTCAGCGGCGGCGTCATCCTTGCTGTGACCCTTCTGAGCTGTTGACAGACAACTCAGTCTTCACAGCAACCCCGTGAGGTAGGCGCTGACACCCTCCTTGTCAAGGGACCAAACTGAGGCACAGATGAGTTAAATGAGTTGTCTAAGGCCTCATGTGGTTTGTGATTGTGGAAGCTGGGATTTGAGCCCAGGCTTTCTAGTTCTAGAATGATCTTAACCGTGTTGCTGTACTGCCTGTGAGGAGATGTGTTCACATCACTGCTTTGAGAATGCATGAGCAGATTCCGGGCAGTTTTTGAGAGCTTACCATGTGCTGGGCTGGGTGCTGGCTGCTTGTGCAGACGTTACTGTGTTTCTTTTAAATCAGAGCCTCAGGGCTGGAACACACAGAGGGCGGGGACTCTCAGAGAAGGCTGGAGCTCTGAGGTCCGTCTCTTCACTCCAAGAGTTGCTTTATCCACTCAGTTGACTACGCTCGGTCCCTCAGTCCATATAAACACAGTGGTAGGTTTGAGCCTTTGATCGGACCTTCTGTATTTCACCTTTTCAAAGAAGATGTCTTTTACTTATTGTTGTATAATGTTTACCTGATGGTAGTGTAAATCCAGAACCATTTCAGTGTTTCTCACGGGTCTGCCAGTCCTGCCCGTGGCCTCTGTACTATCCACTTGTATGGAGAGTCAGCTGGGGCTGGGCTTTTTTCTCTTCTCGTGTATTCTGAGGGTCCCGCCTCCTCTGCATGGCTCTCCTTGTTATTTCTACATCAGGGTAGCTAGACTCTTACACGCAGCTCAGGGCTCAAAAGAACACAAGAGCAGAAGCCCCTGGGGCCTTTTAAGGTCTGGACCTAGAATAGGCCCTGTATTGCTTCTCCTATACTATCTTTTTTTATTTTTAAAATCTTTAATTGACTAAGATCAGATATATCCAAGATGTACGGTATGAGGATTTGATACATGTATACGTTGTATGATGATCACCACCACCAAATTAACCAACCCAGACAGCATCACCGTGCTGTGCGTTGGATTCCAGAATGTGTTCATCTTCTAACCAAAAGCTTGTCCCCTTTGCCCAAAATCTCCTCATTTCCCACCCTCACCCTCCATCCCCGGCAGATGCTGTTCTATTCTCAGCTTCTGTGAATTTGACTTTTTTTTTAGGTTTCACACATGAGAAAGATTGTACAGTCATTGCCTTTCTGTTTACTGTACCATCTTGACGAAAGCAAGGCCCAGCCTGGAGTAAAGGAGAGAGGACGACTCAAGACGGAGAAGGCTCCCACCGCCCCCGCTTGCTCTCGTCCTCAGTCTGGCTGTTCTCACTTTGTGCAGCTCTAACACACTTATTTACTCCTTCCTCCATGTTGTATGTTTTTAACATGGAGGAATCAGTGAATAGAAGTAACATTTGGAGTGGGGGTAAGAGCTGCTTTAACGAC